TTTAAAGATTTGGGGAAGGAACCCCCCCCCCCCCCCCCCCCCTGTTTTTGTTTTGCCCCCCCCCCCGATCGCACAAGCGGTAGCTCGACAATTTACCTCGATTGTTGTATGTGGATCTTTTCTGCTTGTGGGTAGTGCAGTTGTCTAAATCTGCCCCCTGCAGTGGTTCAACGGCCGTGTTCCGTGTCCGTCCGGTCATACCAACTAGGTGGACGACATGTGCCAGGAGGCAAACGGCTTGGACGAGAACACCATGGTCGAGTTCGTGAGCAGCACAACCATGGTCGGGTGAGTACTGTGCTGTTGTCGGTGTGTCGTGGGTCGAAGGAGGGGGGGATATATACTGGCTAGGCGTAGCGAACCGTCCATTTTGGGCTCGCGAACGTTGTCGCACCCATGGTAGGGACGGTATCAGCGCCATTTCCCATGCGCCACTACACCCTCTCGCTCGTCACATGCTCCGTGTTCGTGCCAGACTTCTCCCGGTGCCGCACCCAATCGTGATTCGGAAGTACCACCCCAACCAGCACACCGCCATCTGGTTCACCGCCTTCATGTGGGGAGTTGTCTTCGTGCGCAACCAGGATCTGCCCATGTTCGACGGGCAGAAAATCCGTCTCTTCACGGTCACGAGCGGCGGGACACAGTAGGAAACTGCTCGATGTCGTTTGTTGAACAATTGTTGTGAGTGTCTGAGGGGTTCGTCGGCTGCTGGTTGCCGGTTCTCGTTGTTGTCCAGGTCCCAGAGAGGGGGAGAGAGAGACAGAGAGCGACGTATTGTTGTGGCCTCGCGGTGAAGAGACACCTGAGACTCCTTTCCTTGGAGATGTGCGTTTTTGTGGGCATGCTTTGGTCCCATTCGGGTGTACGGTAGAGCTGTGGTATGGGCGATAGGCGGCAGCCCTTGTTTCTGTGCGAGCTATGCGACCCGCACATCCAAAAACATGGTACGCCTCCGAATAATGCGGCGCTTCAAAGAAGATCCTTCTTCAAGAGTTGGTGTTGCCATTCCAACGTCTGTTTTCGGTTGTCCGCCGCTCAAGCTGGCGGTGGGTGATATGCGGCATGATCTGCGCCACAGCCTCAATCCTGCAGGCTTTCACCGGTTTCCACATATGCCCCCAACACAAGTACTTCGAATTGCCTCACTGGAACAGTCGCTAGAAAAAGCGGTGATTGGTTACCGGTTTATAGCTTCGAATTCCCGCCCGTCCCCTCCCCTGCCCCCGGCCGCACCCTATCATCATGCGATCAAATATCCCAACACACTCAAAGGTCACATGAACCCAGAAGCAAGACAGGCAGTCAAACATGAAATAAAAACGCCTTGGGAGGTTTACCACCCCCTGCACAGAGCGATGCTGCTGTTGGCGACACGCCGCTAGAGCCCCAATCCACCGTTCTCCCCAGCACCCCACGCCGGGAAAAATTCTAGCCGCGATCGAACGGACGTGCCTCTCCGAGGATCGCCGTCGCCGTCACCACACTCTCCGACGCGGGTCAACGTTTTTGGGATCGGAGCTTCATTCCAGGCGTGTACGTCAGCCCTACAAGAACGACGCCACTCTTGACCCATTCGCCTTCGCACCACTCACGACAGTCGACCTGGCTCACCGTCAGATGGGGGACACAGACTGACCCTCAAAACACCAACTCCCCCAGACATTCTCCATCGCATCAAACATGGCCTACCGCCCCAACTTCGTCTGTAAACTCTGAACGAGAAACCGAACGTTTCCTTGCATAAGCTCGTCGGCCTAACCCCAACCCCAACTGAACCGATGCTTACGTTATCCAGTACTGTAGTATTTCCTTTCTACTTGTTTCCACTGGGAAAAATATGCGCAATACACGTACAAGAAAAACTCGTCCGACTCCTCGTGCCTCATACACTTGTTTTACTTGTATGGCGCCAAGTTTGGGCTCGTGTCAGCGCCTCTGACGAGCCGGAAAGCCCGCCTGTACTCCCTACAAGTCCGCCTCGTCTGCCACACACTTACAGTAGTTTAGATTCCGTCAACCATCCTTCTCACGAGCAGCACTTTTCCCTTGATGACATCAAAATCGGCTTGAAACCACTACGACCCCCCGTCCTCCGTAGAGCCATCCGCACGCTTCCTTTCGGGAGCCTGCAGTAGTCCAAATCTGCGTGTACTATCTGCTCGACGTACATACTCCACGGGACAATCCAGGACTCCTGGACCTGGTACGTCTTGCCGTTATTTCTGAATAATTGTTTCATACGCCTGTCCGGCAAGTCCCTCGTGTGCCCGACTTTGATCTCCTTTGGTTTTCCTTTGCCGCCTTTCTCGCGTGCAGCATATACGTAGCCGTTCGTGTCTTCGGGAGTAGGGCCGTCGTCAAACCGTTGCTGAGCTTTTTTATTCAGCTGGCCATACTTTCGTCTCCCGTGGACGCTTCTTCTGCTACAGGTTTCTCCTTCAGTTCGGCAGGCAGTGACACAAGTGTGGGGCGAGGTGCGGGATAAGGAGACAAGCGGGGTAGAAGGCAAGCGGCGGAGGAGAGGTTTCATTGAGCCCACAAAGAGGTCGGCAAATATCGCAATGTTGCATACGCCTCTTTGCCGACCTTACGTCTATCAGATCCTCAGGTTTGCTCAGATACTGCTGCGAGTATGTCTAACACCGCAGGTTACGTAGCCGCCATCCTCCTAACCGCGACCTCCCCCGTCACTCTCCCTCACTTTCTCTCACTTTGTTGACGTCCTGCGAAGCCATCTGCTAGATGTTCTTATACCGACGGAAAGTCGGAATGAATGAGTACTGAAAGTGCCGGACGTTCCGACGTTCCTACATACCAAAATTGTGACGGTATGTGGTCGTCCTTACTATTTGAATCGACCGCGCTAACCGACTGACCAATGAAAAGGCGTCAGTCTACTTGTATGTTTGTGTGTGTAATGGCAATTCACTTTGTGTGGTTGTGTGTATGTGTTGCCGGCCAAACCCACCTGCGCGGCCCCTATTCGCACGCAGCGACTGATGATGCATACGCACACAAAGCCATGGTATTTGAAGTGTGGGGTCCACCACTGCAACGTGCCCAGGCACACAATTTTCAACATACTGTAGTCAATATTGTTGTTTGTAAACGGTGAGAATGCCACATATCCGACACCCCACCCCTTGTATTCATGCCTCCTTGCCCGGCAGTTGTGTGCCCGGCCGAAACTAAGTTCACTCCATTCGCTTTCTTCTTTCATGTCGTGAGTGTTCCAGCGAAGATGGTGGTCATTCAAGCGCTGTCCAAGGCATCTCCTATCACCGAGCGCAAGCAGGCGGCCGAAGATACAGCAGTGAAATCGCCTGCTGTTCTTCATACACTATGGAGGACTTGTAGATGGTTGATTACCGTGCCCAGTGTCTATGGATGCACACGCACACGCTGCCGACTACAACCCTCGATTGTTTCCAGGTGCTGGATCTGCTTGAGACTTGTTTGCCCCCTCTAAATCAATGAAGATTCCTCGGCCACAGCGATCCAACAATATATGAGCACCTTGGTTTTTCAACCATCTTGAGTGCGTTCCGCTCGGCATGTATGCAGCCTATCTCTACCATCCACTACTAACAATGGACGACTTCCACGCTTTTAGCCGGGGGAACGAGGGCTCACGGTTGGATCTTGGTACCATGTTCATTGATGTTAAACATCACTCTCAGCTTGATTTTCACTCACACCACGTCCTACTGCTGTATGCATATGTACCCTTGCTTATCTGCTCGTACATCGAAAGGACAAACGATATATATAGGTAGGAAGCAGTGCCGGTCAGGATACCAGATAAGGCAGACATCTCGGCTATCTACACTATTCGCCTGCAACAGGAATGAGACATATGTAGGGCTCTGAAAGGTTGGCAGCCGTTCACTTTACCGCTAAGGGTGTGAAACCTTCAGGTCGACAGTAGTGGCCATGGGATGGCTTGCAAGACCGTCCAAGTGCAGCCCTCTTCGCCGGCAACAGCCTTGCTCAATGATCTGAGGGATTAGACAAAAAACATACTCTGTCAGACCACCAGTCAAGTGTTGTACCCGTGTTCCAAGCGTCGTTGAATGAGATGTTGCTCTCCATACTGCCTTGCGGAGAGAGGGGGAGAGAGAGATTTAATTACATAATGCGTGTTCATTATTGTCTCTTTAACAAACGTAGATAGTGAGGTCCCTTCTACTTGCGGTTGGCTGGTGAGAAGATAGTCTGCTACACACCGCCGAAAAACTATTGAGGGCCTGCCGCTCCTCCTGAAGAAAAATGTTTACCTGTACCGGCATGCCCTGTCGACTGGAGAACCGCTCAATATGGTATGTCGTGTCCGCGCGCGCACCCAGCGGTCTGATCCTTAAATCTAAATTGCGGGCCCGCCCGGTCGAATCTACCTGTCTGTAGGAGTCCAACCCTTCCGACGATGAGCTAGATTGCTAGATAACACGGGAGGAGCTGACACTGCGGGGGGTGGGGGAGTGGCAGCGCCACCACAGCACTCGGAGCTGTTGTCGTATTTCGCACCGCTTGGAGGGGGTACAGAGGCTTGGGCAGTTTCCCATCTTCGCTACGCAAGTATGCTGCGTCTCGCTCACATCGCACGGTGCGAATGCAAGGTACGTCAGGCAGATATCAGAGAGACGTTCGAGTAGGCATACTCGATATACACACAAGTGACACTAGCAAATTCACGCGGCTGCGTACAGGAAGAAGAGCCTGTTTTGGTTGCTCACGAATTGCTCCCTCCACGTGCGAACGCCTCTCTCTCTGTGGGCCGTGTTTCCAAGACTTTCTAGGTAGGACTATTTCTGTGTACGTAATATCAAGGCAAGTTGTTCAGCACGCCCAAGTAGACGAAAACAAAAACACTTGTCACTTCTCGTGCGCTTGGACGTACACAGGCCAGCCCCGACGGGAGAAAAGACTTTCTGTGTTGTCGTGTTTAACGGATAAATACGTGCAAAACTTGCACACTCCTGTCTGATGTCCACCCTAGCGTAGCACTTCTTCGGCTACTTCCGGAAGTCGACAGTCACAACGAGACACACTAGGTTTTACGACACTGCGCTCTTGTTCCACAAACTTGGGGACATGTTCCCCGTGAAGCGGTTAAGAACAAAACGCTATTGCGACCTCCGGCTTAGCGGCATTCCTTGAACTGCGGTTGTATCTCGACCTGGTACCACAAAGCATTGAACCGCGACTCTCACTCTGCGCACACATAATAATGTCAGTCGACGGGGAACTTAGATCATGGTTTGCTTGCACGCATGCAGGAGGCCACACCTACCTTCATTGCCAGGGGATAAGCTTATTCGAATATACATGTGCCGATAGACTATGATATGGTGTGTGGTGTGAATACATGCTGTTTAGAGCAGTATTTAGCCGCAAATCTCAGGGCGCAGACTCCAAGTTCACAGCAGTCATTGTTGTGCCGAGGTACCGGATTTGAGTGCAGCCTTCCTGATAACACCATCTAGCACGACTGGATCTTCTCCGGTTAGACTCCACATCTTGACATACAGACAGACTTACTCGACAAACGAGAACCCCCAGACATACCAATCCTATCGCACAACGCCTACCGCCCGACCGGGGCGAAAAACACAAAAATACACAATCCACAATTTACACGCGACGCGTCGCTGTCGATACGTTCTAATACTCGAAAGAAAACAATTATGTGTGAAACTCAAAATCAGATCGCGCCAAGTTTGGGCTCGAGTCGCCGCCGCCGCCGGACGGGAAGGCCACAACGGAACATGCCACAGAACGCCGGTTGCACTCCCAAAAAGTCCGCCTCGTCTGCCTCGCGGGCGGCAACCATCCGGATCGCGAGCTTCACCCTGGCCTCGACGACGTCAATGTCGGCCCGGAACCATTCCGTGCCCCCGTCCTCTCTGCCGCCACCGTCCCAGCTCTTTTCCTTGCCCGGGACCACCTTCAGGTCGTCGAGATCGAGATGCACGATCTTCTCGACGTACCCGCACCACGGAACATGCCAGGACGCCCGGAGCGTGTAAGCCTTCCTGTTGTTGTGAGCGGACTGCTTCATGCGTCTCTCCGGCGGGTCTAGAGTGGTCTTGCCGATTTTCCACTCTTTTGTCTTATCGCCTCCGCCACCGCCGCCGCCGCCGGACTCGCAGTAAATGTAGAGGAAGCCCGGCGTATCTTGGGGAGAAGGACCGGCGTCGAAACGCTCCTGGGCTCTCGAGCGCAGCGGGCCTTTCATTCGTGCGCGTTGCTGCTGCTTTTCTTTCCCTCCCCGCCCCAGGAACCTTATTCGCGTCGCCTTTCCTCCTCGGGCAACAGAGGGCGACGCCTTGACCCCCTTGCTGCCGTTGTCCGACGACTTGTAGTCTGCCGTCATTGTTGGTCCGAAATTATGAAATTATGAAATTATGAGCCGTGCAGGGAGTTCAATGTGGTTGTTGTTTCCAGGAAACGAGAAGTAAGTGTGGCGAGGACATGAGACAGAGACGATGTGCCGCGAACAAGGGAAACACTCCGGTTGATGCTGCGGGCGGGCGAAAACTTGGCAGTCTGCTTGCTGGGAAGGTTAAGCGGCGAAAGTCAATCCCAACGTGTCTGGAGTGTAAGCTGCAGGCGTTCTGCATCTGCCCTATCTAGCCCTTTGACTTACCTGCCATCCTTCGAATCAGCTCCTGTTTCTTGAGATGACTATAGCCCGTCATTCCGCGCTTCCGGCATTCCGCGCGCAACTCCTCAAGCGTAGCCTCTCGAGGCTTCGCCTCCCCCGGGGTATTGCCGCTGCTGGAAGAAGGCTTTTTGTTGTCTGCAGAACGTCGCAGAAGTGGCCATGAGGGGGGGACGGGGTCAAGCCGACGGATTCAGCGAAGAAGACGCGCAGCTTTGGTCACAAGCCCCTTGAAACATAACCCACGCCGAGGTAGTTGCTCTAATCTGGGCATCGTCTTTTCTCTGGGCATACGAAATACAGATGTCTTATGTGTACAGTTGTATTACTTCAACCTTCGGAAACAACGTTTTTTCGGGCACTCGCCTTTCAACAACCGGATCAATTCATCTTTTTTAAGCTTGGAGACGTTCTGCAGCCCCCGCCGTCGACATTCTTCCCGTAGTTCCGCCACAGTAAGATCAGCGGGCCCCTTGCTCTGCGTGTTTGTGCTGCTGCTGCTGCCGCCGCCGCCGCCGCCGCCGGTGGCCGATGGCGTCATGACAACGCCTGCGATGACAACAGTACGCGACAACACGGCGTGGCGTTAGTTAGCAATATGAACAGCAGTAGACGCGGGTGAGCGAAACGCAAGCAGTCGCAAGAGCACCAGCGCTATCGCTTGCATCTTTCTGTTTTTTGCATGGACGAACACAGCATAGCGCGCAACATGGACGAGGGTAAAACATGGAGATGATACATATGCATACGAATTCGCATAACAGGCAGGACCCAGGACCCCCAATACCCCGTAAATCTGCTGCAGCCTCTCGACAATCTACTGTACGTATACATTCTGCAATCTAGGAGGTCGACGGCCAATAGCATCGCAGGAAGAATATCAAAAGCAAGGCATCAAAAGCAGCGCCAGGTAAAGTTGTGGCATTACTGGCACCCACCTGTTTGGAGAGCTCGAAGGAGCGAGGCCTTGTTCAAGCGCGAGTACCCCGTAATTCCGCGACGTTTGCACTCCGCCTGAAGCTCCTTCTTTGTCCACGTCTCGTCCACAGCCCCCATTGCGTCTCACCACCCACAAAAGTACGAGGGAAGGGTGGTTTCTAGCGGTGCTTAACTTTGTCTGCAGTTGCTACCCTTCGCTCGCTTGCTCCATGTGCACGAGTGCACGCGAGTGCAACCAACGGGACAACAGGACCGGTGTCATATGCATATGCGGCGGAATCAGAAAAAAAAAGTCGGAATTGACCAATAGGAGGCAATTACCAAATGCCGCTGGCCGTGTCCCCCTCCCTCCTCCTCCAGGGAGATATACTCCTCTCTCGCTGCCCTCCCTCCCGAAAAGGGGCCCCACCGCACCCATCATCGCTGTACCTTGACGATTTACTCCTTTGCAAGCAGGAGTTGGTCTAGTTCTTGAGCTAGTCTGTCGATACTTCCCACTGCCGGCGTTATCCTACCCACAACGCGGCGCGGTACAGAAGGCACAGAGAGAGTGCGGAGGCAAAGAGATAAACACAACGCCGGCCAGGAGACAGGACGGCAGAGGAGGACCCGTGATCATGTCTGGTCGCCAGCTACAGTATGAAGAGCTTTCTCGTCTCCTGCAGCAGCTGGGAGACACGTGGGTCGCTGAATGGTCTGCCGCGGAAGGTACGTGAGGCGGGACTATAATAGTTGAATTTCAACTACATCGGCCCGACCACTGCCTGGGCGCATGGGGGTGGAAATCCGAGATCGCGAGATCGCAGTCTGTCGCTGCGCGTGTAGCAAGCCAATTATATCCCTTCAGAACCTGTACCAACCCGTTACAAGACCGTGGCCAATCCTCCGTTTCCTGCAGCACCTACAGCAGTAGTCTATGCAGGAGCCAACACAAACAGGAGGTTCGCGGTATGCAACCCCCAATAATTGCTTGCCTCCAGCAGTCGCAGTTGATGAAGAGAGATATGTAGACAAGGACAGAGACAGAGACGGTTATACTTACAGAGACCAAAAGACAGAGACGCATGAAGCGTGCCTTGTGCTGCAAGAAAGTTTGGTGATCAACTCATCAATTTACGTGTATTGTCAAGTATTGTTCGCCCTCTGACATGATCAGTTGCGCCTTGCCCCCGTGCACCATGTCTTCGCTGTGGTCTGGGGCTGGGGTCGGGATCCTACTGCGGCGTTCGACGGCCGACGGCGCCACGCATCTCAAACAATACTACACACTTGACATAGCAGTGCCGAAAGCGCTGTCGGATCTCCTGGATAAAATCAAGACCTCGACCAGCCCAACAGCATCAAAGGGACCAACACAGGATGGTGAGGACGTCGACACCGGCAACGCCGCAGGGAAGGGGAGCGCTACCCCGTATCAGCTGCCGGCGCTCTTGGACATAGCTCGCTTGGCGCTGACGCCCAGCTGCGCCGGCGGGGTAAGGGTGGGAACAACCCCACCCAAAGCGCGCTCCCGCGCCCTGGCGCTAGACTGTCTCAGCCTCGGCTTGGTCCTGCACCTCGAACCGAGCGAGGGGGATCGGTTGAAAGATTTCAGGCGTGAAGCCTTAGCCGTTGCGGCCGTGGGAGCGAAGGACGAGCGGTGGGAGGTCAGGGTCGCCGCGGCGCGGGCGGCAGGAGAAGTTTTGAGGAGGACAGGAGGGCAGGAAAAGTTGGTTCACTTGCTGTCGTCCAAGCAGGTGAGAAGAGAGAGAGAGCCCGGGGACCCTTTGCTTGTTTCTTTGTCGGGGGTGGATGTGCGCGTTGCCCTTTTGAAGTTCGAAGAATAATTCTAAATCCTGCCGGCCCACCAACACTCTCAGTTTGTACGGCGGGGGGTGCTTGAATGTCCTGACTAGGTTCTTGGTGTACGATTGTCGGTGGCAAAGCCTTCAACGGCCACCGGAGCGCTACAAGTACCTAGGCGTGGGTCGCCAGGTATGCGCGCATGACTCGGCAGCTCCGCGTTTCCGAAAGGACTCGCTCAAACTTGCCGCCGTTTCTCGTCATAGCTCCGACGGGCGAATTGGCTCAGTGCTGCATGGAACGTTCGACTGTTCCATCGCATCTATTCAATCCTTTCTTCCTCGCAAAAGCAAAAATCCAACCATCGCCTTCAACCATCGCCCCCCTCTCCACCCCATGTCTCTAAACCCCTGTGCCATGATCTGGACCAGGGCTGTTGGCTCCCGGCCCTTCTCGCCGACGGCTACCCAGAGGTGCAACACGCCGCCCGTGAGGCTCTCACCCAGAGCCTCGCTTGTCCAGACGGTAGCTGCGACGGCATGCCGGAGAACGGTCTCAACCCGGCCGCAGTATCGCTCCCGTCGTCGCCATCTGCCGCCGCTGCTCCTGTTAGAGCCGCCTCTTCTTTCCCGCCGACGGCGGCGGCGGCGGCGGCGATGCGCGGGGCGTGCGAGGCTCTGCGAGCGGCGGCCCTATCGAACTTGGACGTCGAGCCGGAGGCCGGCGGCGTCGTCGACCTGAGAGCCGTCGACCTCGCGGAGGAGGAGACCACGCGTACCGCCCTGCGAGCGCTGCGGGGCGGGGCTTCCTTGTTGGGATCGCCACCGGGGGAGCGAGAGTCGCACTCGCACCTGCCCCTCCTCGCATCGTCTTCGGCACTGCCGGGCCGGCGGGAGGAAGAGCACGGGAACGAGCAGGAGGCGACGGCCGCTCGGGTGGAAGCTCTAGAGTCGGTAGAAGCGTTGCTCGTTGGAACACTGCCAGATTTTCCGGATCTGTCTGTGCCGTGGGCCGCGGAAGGCGGAGACCAGCACGGAGCGGCGGCAAGCGCTAGGAGTGCCGCTGGAGTAGGCGGCCTCTCGCTGGAAGCTGGCGAGACCGTCTGCGCGCTCTCGCTCGGGGGCGCGGAAGGCGCGGCGGGATTTCGCGCCAAGGCGTTGGAAGCGGCCACGGCAGCGGTAGAGGAGTTTCGGTCCGAGTGCCTGTCGGCGGCTGCGGGTGACGGGGGCGGAGAAACCGGAGGTAAAGGGGGGGAGGGCTTGTGGAAACGGGTTTACTGCGGACTGCTTGTGCGATTGGAGGGGTGTTCTGCGTTCATGGTGGGCCCCGAGCCGCCGTCACCGCCAACGGCGGTGTCACTTCCGGCGCGGGAGGGCGTCGTCGTGAACGGGCGAGATGGCCACGACACGTCGGCGGCGACGCCACCGACGCAAGCCCTCATCGCCGGAGAAGGGGCGGGCGGCAGCACGGTCGGCGGCGAATCCACCACCGCACCCGCCGCCCGTGGGTCTCCGCCGTCCTCCCTCGCTCGGCTGACGGAAGCGTTCGCAGAAGCGCTGGAAGAGGTGCCCTTGGCGTACGAGCAGGCCGTGCCCCCAAACCTCGACAACAATGACGACATGACCATCAGCGAGAAGAACGCGTTGCGCGCTCGGGGCGGCAGGCGACGGCGGTGGATGGTGGCTTCCACGCACCTCCTGCTTCGGGCTGGCGCGAAGTTGTGCGAACAATACCGGCGCTCCTGCGGCGGCGGAGCGCCAGCCGCCGACGTTGCCGGCGGTAGCGGTAGCGGAGGGGAGCAAGCGCTCGCGTCGGCGACGCTGGTGAAGCTGTTGGTG